CCAGATGCTCTCCGTCTCCAACTGGGAAGCAAGAGAGTATGCTGGGGTCTCTGACCCCAGACCTAGTTCCCCCAGGTCATGCCTGCACCTGTCCCCACCCCCAATGGGTGTGGTCAGTGCAAAGTGTGCTGGTGGGGTAGATATCTCACTACAATTCCCCTTTTAGTCTAAAAAAAAAAGATTTAGGGTTGATATAAAACTATATACAAGACAGTAAATATCAAATATGCTCTAAGAAAAGGAAAATTAAGAACATACAAGCTTAAGACCTATACCCCCTTGGTTGTCCAAAGACCCCTTAAAAGGGGTTGTCCAAAACTAACATAAAACACAGATGTTTACATTAGGATTCATCATAGTAGCAAAATTACAGTTATGGAGTGGTAAGGAAATAATTTTATGGTTTGAGGTCACCATAACATGAGGAGCAGTATTGAAAGGTCTCAGCATTTGGGAGGTTGAGAATCACTGCTTTAGGGTATTAAGAAATTAAGATAACCTCCAAACGGAGAGTGAAATGTTCCATTCTCCATTCTCCACATACATCTATATCTAGCACCCCAGAACTTTATCAACGGTGTAGAACACATTTAAAGGGTGGAGAGAAGTCGCTAGGAGCGGTAGAGACAGTTTCAAAAAAAAGTTCTGTGTGTGTGTGTGTGTGTGTATGCACATAGGTAAACGCGCACGCACACACACACACACACACACACACACACGCTTGTGTTGTGTTTTAGTACCTAGTTTTTACCTTTGTCATATGCATATATTCTTCTGGGTGGCTTAATCAATGACAAGCAGGCCAAAGTCTACACTCAAAACTCTCCCTGCTGTAACTGGACATATTGAGTAGTGCTGAAGTGCCTTGTTCCTTTTTGGGAAGTGTGATAAGATCTGTATCTGTGGATCCTAAATCCTCTCTACACTTTAACTCCTTTCTCTAAGAATAGAAAGGAACCAACGTGGGAGCGTATATGTAGTAAATATACATCTTGTAATGGGGCTGATATGTAATATGGGTGGCCACTACTAGGCAGTGTTTTAGTGGAATGGCTTCTGCCACTTAATCTACGCCAATGCTAGAGTGTATCTGAGTGTTCGCATTTTTTACCGAAAATGAAACAGAATCACCCCATTGACCCGTAGTTGAGTTCTTGCTTCTAGGAAGTGAAGGAGACAAAACATAAACATAGTTTGACCCCAGTTTTGTGTGCAGTGTATTTCGTGTAGTGTTAAGAAGGTTTTCCACTCAAGGGGAAAAAATGATAAGGTACAACTTGAGTGGGCTTCTCTGGAGCAGTCTTGGGGACGATAGAGGATTTGGAACTCTAACTGCCTGTTTCAGCACACATCCCAGTCATGTCTGGAGGCTGTTAAGAGACATTTCTGGTTCCTGCTATTCATAATGGTTGCTGCCTAGCAGATTCCCACACCAGTCCCTGGAGAGCCATTGAGTCAGGCCATGCTTTTTCCGATAACCAGATGGGAAGTCAAATTACAGAGGACTAGTGCTATCTCATATTTAGGAGTACTACTGCATCTTAGAATCTCATTGCTTTCTTTGGAGCTAAAGTCTCTTGGGAAAAGACAAACATGTGAACACCATTGGTTGCTTGGCCTTTAAAGTCAGACTGTTTAAAAAGTCAGCCGATTGATTAGAAGATAGATCTAGTATTAAAGTTCAAAGAGCTGCAAGGTCTATGGGTGGAGAGCCTCTTCCATGTCCTCAGAATTGCCCGTGTAGCCATACATAGCATCTTGAATGGTAGCAGAGAGATGGTTTTGAGCAGAACACGGATGTGTCTGTTTTTGGCTCACACACCCAGGAAATAAAGTATATACTGTGAAAGGAAAGGCTTTGTTTATGAGACCATAGAGGCTCAGACACAGCAAACAAATCTAGCCATATGAGACTTCTGACCACTTACATCCCTGATGGTGCAGCTCCTTAACTCACATTCTCAGCACTAGTTATAGATACATATGGAGAAAAGGGCATGCCGCTCTATTTTAGGGAATCCGGCTGTTACCTACAATACCTGCCTCCTCAGAACTATACATGGTACATAAACAAGCAGATGTAACATCTGCTAAAGGAACAAAGATAAGTGAGCTTCCTTCCTCAGAGGAAAAAAGTTAACAATGAGCTGAAGGGAGTGAGGAATGGTATTAGACTGTTTGAGACAGTTTTAATATAATAGTAGCGTTCTTAACAGGATTGTCTTCCAGGAAATATGATACTTGGTGTATGCTGTTTCCATTAGTAGAATCTTCTGCAATTATTATTGTTAGTAGTAGTAGTAGTATTTATTAAACATAGACTAGTATGTGGTATGGCAGTATAAGAAACTTCAACTAGACAATTTTGAGACTACAATTTTTGATAATTCACTGATACAAGGAATGAGGGATTTATTCAGACACAGTTGCAGTTTTTCAGGCAGAGGGTATTATCAGATCCTGGGCCATAGTACAGACAGTGAGAATCGGAGAATATGTGAGTAAGACCAGTCGATGTGACGAAATAGCACAAACTGTGTGGCTTAAACAACAGAAACGCATTTTCAGTCTAGAGGCTGAGTCAAGTTGCTGACTTTTAGATTGTGGCTTTTCCAGGCCCTCTTCTTGCCATGGCCTCATTGGGTGGGGTTGTTATGACCTAGGCAGAGAAATAACAAGCTCTGTGGTTTTTCTTACAAGGATCTGTTCCCATTGTATCAGAATAGCATCGTTTAAGTAATTAGTTCCCAGAAATCACTGTCTTCAAATATAATCCCATTGAAGGCTAGCTAGGGCTTTAGCCTAGGAGTTTTTGGGTGGAGGCCACACTTGGGCTGCAACACAGAATGAAATCAGTAATTTGCCTGTTCCTTGTTTGTACTTGGTGAGACAACTGTGGGTTCAGGTCCTCAGATCTGGGTCTCAGATTTGGGGAACTGGGTGGATGATGGCTACCACTTATGGGAAAATCTGAAATTTTCTTTGTATATGTTTAGTTACAATTCTATCTATCTATCTATCTATCTATCTATCTATCTATCTATCTATTTTTATGAGAGGGCTGGTAACCATGACTGTGGCATGTGGAAATTTATTTTATCCAAAAGGACAGCGCTTCTGCCTTTAAAAATTATTAAGCAGTTCATTGTGTTTACAATGTATTACACGTTGGATTCTAAACTCACTTATTTTATATATTGTAGCAGTTAGTTCCAGACAGTAAGCATCTTAAAATATGCACAACCAGCTACAAAGTAAAGGGTGCATTTGGTAGTATGGGCTACTCCCTCCCCCACACTCTCCCTGATACATGCATTTCCTGCTTTCCTCTCTGGCATCTTGACTTCTCTGCTTCTGTTCGAAGACCGGATGTAGGTGGGTGTTCTCCTCTGAAGCTCTGCATTTGACAGTGTTTGGAGATCTTTTTAAACATCCAAGGCAAGTGGTTGTACAGTTTGTTCCCTTTGGAAGGCTGTGGATTCCAGACACACTGCAGAAAGGAAATTGCTTAGGGGATTTTATCTCCTTTGTTTTATGTTATAACTTTTATTCAGTTACTTACTTTTCCATGAAGCATGACACATAGGTATCTGCACATACCCAATACACCCTTATATATAGTACTGAAATAAGTTTGCTTTTTAAGAGGCCTATGATGCTAGGGCTGGTGGCACACACCTCTGGAGATGAGCTAATCTTGGGAGAGTTCATAGATTTGGCTATAGAATCAGTTTGGGACCAGCTTAGTCAGCATAGTGAGGTCATTTCAAGCTTTATTAAAAAGTAGAAAGGGCTACTAGGGGTGTAGCTCCATGATAGAGTGCTCACACAGTATAAATAGGGTCCTAGGCTCCATATTTACTACTGGAAAAAAAAAGAAATAAAGAAAAAGAAAATATAAGTAAGGAAAAAACAAAAACACAGAAAACAAACAAAACTTGTTTTTGGAGAAAAATGTACCTGCCACTAGATTCTGCTGGGAACACATGGAAGTAAAATGTGACCTTTAACTTGTACATTTCACCCTCGTATTACTGTGTTTCCTGATAACTAGTGTACTTAGAAATTACCTAATTATTATTCAGCTGCTGCTATCTTGCACGTTGATATTGACTGTTAACACACGAGGCCACAGGCTCCTTTGAAATGTAAGGAACAGCAGGGCCTGGCTGCTTCTGCAGGGTCAGGAACAGTAGTAGGAGAGACCCATACTGAGCAACTGTTAAGAAAAATTACCAGCCACTGAGAGTTCAAGACTGTTGATGCCTTGGGGGGGGGGGGGGGGGCTGCAGTTTAATATACCCACCTGTGAACATTTAATATTAATTCCAAGTCTTGTGTCTGACTGGCTGCTTGGAGGCACGCCTTGGGAAGTTACCTAGTAGCACCTGGAATTTTATTCAGGGAGTTAACATCTTTAGGTATAATTGTATTGCCAGGTATGTAGACTATTAACCAGGTCTTTATCTTGCCCAGCTGTGGGAATCTACTTTGAATCCTTTTTCAAGGTTTTATTTTTGGTGAACACTATGAAATTATTCCACAAATGCTTTGAGAACCTGCCTGTCTTATCATTTTAGTTGTTTATATCATTTCATCAGGTAATGATACATTGTTTCTTTTATATCATTTCATCAGGTAATAGTATAAGTAAACTTGTTGTGCCATGCATGTTCTTGTATTTGTGAGACTCGTTCCTCTTCTCTTTGTTAAAAGTTTTGGCATTACCAAAGCATTTCTGTCCTACAACTTTGTGTAGGGATTCACTTCCAATGCCACCAAAGAGTCCCATCTCAGCAGGTAGCAATTGTTGCCTCTCTTGTTTGTGAAACAGGTGTTACTAATTAGAGTATTTAGGCTAAGAATGAAACTTAGGGGTAAAGTGCTGGCTTAGCATGTCTGAAGGTTTTGGTTTGATACCTAGCACCGCTGAAAGAAACTATGTATATACGCTTTAGATGTATGTTTCCCAGTAATAAAAATATTGTAATATTTTTCAGGCTTGAGCATACAAACAGAAAATAACCTTCTAAAACAACAACAACAAACCATTTTGAAAACATTCTAAAGAGTGATAGAAGAAAAAAAAAATCAACCAAACAAACATAAGAAGTAGATCCTTGTGTGTGTCTCATCGGGCTGCTTTTTAATAATCAGGTAGTAATGAAGCCACCATTATGTCCTCAGCCAGTGAAGTAAATGTGGACATCAGAGATTTCCTAATGAGCATCAATTTGGAGCAGTACCTGTTACATTTCCGGGAATTTGGCTTTTATACTGTGAAGGACTGCGCGTCGATAAATGATAGTGTGCTACACCAAATTGGAATCTCACCTACGGGACACCGTAGGAGGATACTTAAACAGTTACAAATGATCTTTTCAAAAATGCAAGACATCCCAATATATGCAAATGTTCACAAAGCAAAGAATGGCAACACCTCAGAAAAGCGTCAGGATCCTCCGTCTTCCGGCAACAGCACCTGCGTAGAATTTTCTGATTGCATTAGTGTTCACAGACCTGGCCTGACACCGGTGGAGACTGTTACAATGAGTACGTTTGGTGTGGGAAATTGCCACTCTCCTATATCACATGATAAGCTACGTCTTCCTCGGGGAGAAGAGCTACCCCAGAATGTGGACTCCTCGCAAGACTCTTTACTTGGTAGTGTAAATGTTACAACAGATTCTTTGAGTACCCAGAAGGCAGGGGATTGTACACCTGGAGAAGAACAAACAGAAAAAGTCAGCTTGATATCAGAGAATTCCAGAGTGGCTCTTAGCACAAACTGTGACTCTCTTCCCCCTGTGGACTATCCAAGATCGGAAACACATTCTGGAAGTGGCACCAATGGCTCATTAGAAAGCTCCCCAGCATCCCTGTTCTTCCAGTTTCAAGGAGAGATGGTTGTGAATGATCTGTATGTTCCCTCATCGCCGGCCCACACACCCATGAGAAGCCGGAGCAAGTTGGTTTCTAGGCCTTCTCGATCATTTCTGCTGAGACATCGACCTGTACCAGAGATCCCGGGGTCAACAAAAGCAATTTCTGGGAGGTAAGAATTGTTAAGAAACCGTATGTATTCGATTTGGGGGGCTTTATTTGTCATTCAACAACAGTATTTTTCAGGGTTCCTTTCTAAGGCTAACCTCTGTGTATTTGACCTCTGTATATTTGAACCAGCCATAATGCTTTTTTTCCAGACATTTTACCCCCATATTATTTGTATTCCTTTTCAGTCCTAGAGTCTGTTTCAAGTTCTTACATAGCTACTGGGGACTGCAGACTTTCCGTTTCACTGGGGCAGCATTCCTTCCCCTTAACACCCACTCCCCCAATATTCATTCCTCTATCTTCTCATCTGGTATTGTCTTCCATTACCATAGGTCACATGTTTGAATTGTTGACTCCTCCTAATTCATTATTTACTCTTTGGCAGGGAGTACACTTTTAATGGCAGTTTCTCATTGTCTGGCACAGTGTTTGGCGCCAATTAATGATTCAGCACAAATCTGTTGAGCTTGGAAGTACAAGTACGTGTGCTAGGATATAGAAAGCAAAATGGGGTTGCAGTCTAGAGCAGAAGACAAGTGTAACCAAGATGGCGGAAGTAAGGTTTGAAGCCATGTTCATGGACCATAGATCTCTGGAAGTACAATGAGAGGGTCCCTACTAAATAAATACAAGTGAATTGCAGGTATTCTGAGGTAGTTAGGCGATGTCAGAGAAGCTGCCTTATAGTAGAAAGAACCTTCTTCTAACTGATCAATGGTGGAAGTTAGGGTTTTCTCCAGGAACGGGTTGGGTATCCCTGGCCCATCGTTTCATTGATAGCTAACACATGTCTGTTCTGGGCATTCAGATATGATTCAGGCTTCATGCACACACTCCAGGCTTTCTGCCGAGGGTCCTTTGCAGATGAATCTGTGGGTGCCACTTTTTCTTTTGTTCTGTTGGCGCTCTTAGTAATTGAATTGTACTTATAAGAGAAGAGTTAACAACACATTATTATAAAGTATAGTAGCATTCTATGACTTGGTCGAATGTAAGTATTTCTAATATATTAGGACATAAAGCCTTTGAGGGCAAAGACCCTAATTGATTTGTCTTCATCATGATAGGTCTGATACCAATAGCAAAGTCTGATGTTTCTGGGAATCAGCAGTAAAAATATCATTTATAAAATATGCAGGCCCTAGCTTGCTCTATAATTTTCAGTCTGTTGTGCCTTCTTCACAGAGGGCCTAGAAATAGGGAGGTGTGTGTGTGTGGGGGGGTCACCCTGCCTTACTCATGAGGTAGAAATCTGAAGTTAATTTTCTCAGGATCTCAGGGTCAGGGAACTAAGACTTCATTCCAGAGAGGTGTCAACGCCATCAGACAGGAAGAAGCCTGGTGTTTATCAGAAATCAGTGGTGATGTCACAAGAAAGTGCCTAGCTTCCTCTAAAATGTCTAGAACCCAACTTCATTTTTCCTTCACATTTGCCAATCAGGAACAATGCACAAAATCCATTAAACCATAGGGGAGGGAAGGGGAACCGAACATATTTCTTTAAATAGCCTAAGACACACATTCTTCCTCCACCAGGGCTATCCTGCATGGGATCCCAGGATGCTCCCAGAATTCTGAAGGCAAACAGCAAGAGGCTATTTACTCTCTGCTCTAGGCTTCAAAGGGATAGTACCAACTCAAAGTAGTGACAGTAAAGGAGGAAGCTAGCCTGCCAGCCCCTGCCCTCCCCCACCACACTAGACCTCCCCTCCAGAGAAAAGGGACAGGTGTGAATTCAGAAAAAGTCAGGGCAAGAAGAGGAACATTCCCTCGAACTAGAATGTTATCTGCTTCTGATACTGAGAGATGACAGAGGGAGGAGACAAGGGAATATTGTTATTTGGTACCAAAAAAAAAAAAAAAAAAAAAAAAAAAAAAAAAAAATGAGTGCAGTGTCTTTTGCAGATGTTGTTATTTGACCAAAGGGAAGCTCCCATTCTGTAACCAACATGAAGGGGTCATATTGGTGCACCGGGAAACTGTGCTATTTGCAATGCAGATGACCACTAGGGAAAACAGACAGTGGCCTTCAGGAAGTATTTGCTTTCTTTGCTCGCTCCTTTTATGGTCTAAGTGCCACCCGAGAGCTCCGATAACAGGCGTGCACCACCACACCTGGTTTATTCAGTGCTGATAGTCTTTTAACACAGGGCTTCCTGCATGCTAGGGAAACATGCCCAAGTGGGCGATGTCCTCAGCTTTCCCATTCCTCACGCATGCGTATATTTCTCTCTACTCCACAGTAGAAAAAACGATCTCAATGAGCAAGTCTAAAAACCACACTGAGAGCAAATGGTACACAGACAGGAAATAGTGTGTAATTTATAATTTATCTCAATGTTATTTTACTTCTAAATGTCCTCGGTTTTAATGTCAACAGGCTTTCACGTGATAACAGAAGTTGTTTCCATCCAAAGGAGTCAAAACTATACCACCCTGGCATTTGAACTATTTTAAATAAAGGCACTGGATGCAGGTGTTTAAAAAGCAGCAGGTGGGAGGGCATTGCTCTAACCTTGGCATTTTTTCTTAAGAGCAGAAGATGAGATTTCCCCAGTGAGAGGAATAGCATCCTTATCATCAAGGACAGAAGTGAACGGCGAGACCCAGAGTAATCTGTACAGACTTCATAATAAAAAGAAGCCTTGCAGCTTTTGTTTGCACTTTCTACAGAATTAGTTTCCTTTTATAACTTGCTCCATTCAGTATGTAAACATTCTCCTCTTACTCTGGCACCCATCTGATTGTAGACCTGTTAGGACTCTCAGAGGACCCAGCAGCATCACAGGTCCTGTGCAGCTCATGTTCTCTAAAGCTTACAAAAAGGTAGCACATGCCACCTGCCTTAAGCCTCGTGTTTCTCATCTCACAGTCACCTGCCAGGGTTAACGAGGGATTCAGCTTTGCTGTACGCACTCACAGTCGACCTCGCTCACACAGAGAATGCTTCTGACATAGGAAGACTTGTAGGATTTACCTTCCACTTACCTGTTCAAACTTGGCAAGTATTTTAAAGCTAGAAGGTTACTCAGTGCTGATTGATCTATAATCTGGAGTAAAATTCTTACATATGAGGTCAACTTTTTTTTTTTCTTTTAAATCAGGATTAAGAAGTTGGGTTCATTACACCAGTAAACTGTGAATAGTCTTTTTGTTTCCTTTCTTTTTTTTTTTTTCTTTTCTTTTCTTTCTTTGAGACAGGGTTTCTCTGTGGCTTTGGAGTCTTGGAGGCTGTGTCCTGGAACTAGCTCTTGTAGACCAGATTGGTCTCGAACTCACAGAGATTTGCCTGCCTCTGCCTCCCGAGTGCTGGGATTAAAGGCATGTGCCACCACCATCAGGCGGCTGTGATGGCCTTAAGGGTACAGTAGAGACATGCATACCAAGGTGGTGAGCAACAGCTCTCTAATTAGACTTAAGACCCACTCTTCAAGAGCGAAATCATTCCTTGTACTGGAAACTTAGCGAACGACCCAGGGACAGCAAGGTCATGGGTCTTGAATGAGGACTTACTAAACCTCCAGCATAATCCCTTGAAATACTACTACATTTTCCCTTACACCCAAACATGTGTCGTCTTCAATCCCAGTCAAAGAAAATTCTCAACACAACAGAGACAACTACAGAAAACTACAACCAATCAAAATGTAGAGTTGTGGAGCCAATCTCCCTGGATACAGCTACAAAGCTCATACATTACTTGTGTTTTGTTTAGTTGGTGCTGAGGACTGAGCCTAGGGGCCCCTGCAGGCTATGCAAATGCTCTATAGCAGAACCATTCTTTTCTTTATAACTTTTTTATTTTGAGCAGATACTTACCAAGCTTGGCTTTGATCTCAGTCTATAGCCCAGGAGTCCTTAAATTTAGGATCCCCTGCCTCTGCCTCCTGAGCGGCTGATCTAACAAGCAGGTGTGGTTGGTAAGCAAATCTTAATGGAGAGGATTATTGTTAAGGTAAGGGGGAGACAAAAGGGGGATTCCAGGAATGCGTGCAGACTTTCCCAGAATAGGTTATCCCCGTTTTTGCCCTATATGAGGATTTTCAGATGTGTTGTGCTTTCATGTACAGGGTGTGGGCAGGCAGCTGATGATGGAAACGTCAGTGCCCTAAAGGAAGGTCATTTTTGGTAGGTCCTGTTGGTCCTAGGGGAGTGGAGGAAGTCTTGCTGCAGTATAATTAACTATGTGCTTATTTCAGTCTCCGGCCCCATGGGATTTGTGCCCCCTAAACCCCTACGCTGCCCATGCATGTCTAGATCTAGGCTACTTCATTTTCCTACGTAGAGATTTTCCTGTTAGGGAATTGAAAAGTGAAGGAGATCTGTCTCCCGCAACTACTCCAGCTGACCCCAGGCTGTTGACCTTGGTGTGGAAGGGAGGGGCATTTCTGACTGATCTTGGGGTAGCTGAGGCACTGCTGGTGACCCTGTAGTTAGGGCGGGCTATAAACATTGCAGTAGTGTCTTTCTAGCATGGAGGTGTCCGAGTCTGGAAAACACAAAGTTTAGAAGGTTAAAATGTAGGGATCAAATGCAGGTTTTCGATTTGTTGAAGAACGGCTACCAAGGGGTCCTACGAATACTATAGGGAATGGGATAGAATGGGTAAAATCACTTTTATTGCAGTCTAAGTAGTGTTTGTACGCAGGCAATATTAAGAGGAACCTACAGAGCCTTGGAATAAGTCCATATTTCATGGTGAGGGAAAACTTCATATTTTATGGAACAGCAGAAAACTGCTAAGGAGATCTACAATTCAGCCTTTTTTCTTTTAAAACAATGTATTCTTTTAAAATTGTTTTAGTTTGTTTCATATGTAGAGACCAGAGGGCAGCTTGTCCATATGTCTTTGCTTCCATCATGTAGGAATCAAACTCGGGTCCTCAGGCCTGGTAGCAAGCACCTTTATCTGCTGAGCCGTCTACCTGGCCTTCTTGTTAACCCCATCAAAACTGAAATAAAACAAAACAAAGCCTGGCAAATATTTCAAGATCTGCAAGT